GAATTTCGAATTATTTTATTGTGCCTTTGTTTAATAACTTTGAATTTGTTAAGAGGCTATCTTTAAATTAAAGTTATATTGTTATGCACACTGTACATTTAAGAAGGCTCTAGTGGCATTTACTTTAGTTATAAAATCTTAGTATTGCTTTATTTTAATGACAAAATATATTGTTAGAACACCATAGTTATTTTAAAGTATACTATGTTGCATTCTGTATTACATGAAATCCTATATACCTACCTATATGAATAAGAAAACACTATTTATACCTATTTAGGTTTCCAAAAGATCCTCAAACTAGATATATGTGGATGAAGAGTTTGGGTATACGTGAGGATGAAGAGTGTATTCAGTAGAATTTGTTCAAGACATTTTGAGGATTCTGACTTTGCTAAGTCTCCAGGAGGAAAAATGTTTTTAATGAAAGGAGTAATGCCCTTATTTTACTCACAGCCTGAAGCTGTTCCTCAAATGGAAACTATGTCACATTCTAAACCTTCTACATCTGAAACTAAGTGAGTATTTGAACAAAAACTATAAATAATAAAAATGTTTTTTTGTCTTTGTTTAATTAATTTGAATATTCTAAGTATTAGTACGGTAACCAATAAATTTTGTAATTTTTTAATTACCTATTCATGTTATTTTAATAACACATATGTAATTATTATGATATGTTTTCTTATTGTCTAAATTAAAATAGGTTTCATTTATCTCAAGTGAATGTATATTATATTTACTTATTATATTTGTATTTGTAAATTGTGTAGTAGGAAAATGGTTATTGCCAGTATCGCATCATCCTGAAAATATCTAATTCGTATTCTTGGAGACTTGTCTCGATTCTGCTTACGATCCTTTAAGTCTTTCAAAGTCATCCGTTTTTTCCACAGGTACAGTCTGAAGAACATCTAAAGCATCCCCTTGAAAGGCGATGGTCACATTTACTGACTTTTCTCGTTCAAACGTCCACGACGAGATTAAAAAATAATTGGGCAGTATAAGAACCGATCATTGGATCAATCTCTTAAGGCTAAGACACGCTAAGATACGTGAATATAACCAGGAAACCATGGCATGAAACATCGGAATATCGGAAGCCTGTATGAGATCTGCATACCCATTTATAAATGGTAATGTTAGTACTCGTGACGCCATCTATGTTTCAGCTTCATATAAGTGTTTCTCCTTATATCACAGTCATCTGTAGTCTGTGACCCCGTAGGATTATAGATCGTACGTAGATGCCGCCACGAGTACTAAATAAGAGTCAGATGCGCATTGTCTCGTATTACCAGTTCGTATTTCATCTTGAGTTTTGTCTAGTATTATAACCATTACTGAATTACTGTGTTTATCAGAATACTAGAGAATAAAAGCTTACAAGGTGTTGTTTTATTGAGTAGTGTATAAATAAGGCATACATCACAGCCTGCATCTGCCTGAGCGAGAACAGGCTTCGTATTGTAACAGGGATCCTTACCGGGCATTACCGACTTAAAGGACACCTTAGTAAACTGAGAGTAGTAGAGGATAGTGAGTGCAGATTCTGTGAGGAGGAGGACGAAACCTCCATTCACATTCTAACTGAATGTGTAGTACTCTAGAATCCAAAGGCACTATACCTAGTAAGAGGATATGAAATAGAAAAGAGAGAGAGATTTACCTAACACGAAGCCACTCCAAATCCTACACTTCCTTGGGAAGATAGGATTGGAAGGGTCGTTATAGGCATTGAGACATTTCCTTGGTGCATTAGCGACAGAAGGGGCACAATAGATCTTTTAGATCGCAGTGTATTAACACCCCATTCCCAACAACATCTCAAGTGAATGTATATTATATTTACTTATTATCACGTCTCATAATTAATTTAATTTGTAAATTGTGTGGTAGGAAAATTGTTGGGTTTTATTTATCTGTAGTTAATGAATATTAGTTTTAGTTATCTAGGTACCTCTGTCACATAATTATTTGATTTAAAAATTATGTGAAAGGAAAATTGTTGGCAACTAAATTATTATTATTATAATCACCCCATTATCCATTATTAATTGTTATTAAACCAAATGAGTACAATAACACAACGTCCCTAAAAAATTGCTTAACGTTGTTCTATTTCTAACTGACAAGAATTCATCGAAATTAAGTTTTATTATTCAAAATATTGTGTATTAGAAAACCTTGGCAATATTTTAAAACGGTAATTATGAACTTATCATTTATTACATAAGTATCGCTTTATTCTAAACTGTTATTATAACATTTGTCTTTGTTTTTTTTTTCCAGATCTAACCCAACTATTTATGCTGCGTTTGAGAATCCACATCGGATGCATCTGAGATGTAAAAAATCTTTGATCACGTGATTCAGTATACGTAAATGTAATGGGACAGATGTGTCCGATGTGGATAAAAAAACGCTCGAGATGTAAAAAATGCATCCGATGTGGATTCTCAAACGCAGCATTAATAAAATGAATTACATACCTATTATAAAAATTGTTTTTTTAACCCTACTTTCCCAATTATTAAAAACCATAAATATTTTGTGCACAAAATTTAATTAACTTAAAAGGGACTAACAATAAACAGATACTTTATTCTATTTTTTATTACATATATAAGTGGTACTCATAACAACTCAATAAAAATAATTTACAAAAGAATCGATAGTTATTATTAAAAAATAGTACAAAAATTTAGAATTTATAAAACCTATCATTGCAACGTTTATTCAAATTATTTGTGTATAAAAATAATGTATGTTTTTAATTTAAAAAATATATGTATTGGTCGACTGAAAAATTCATTTTTGACGGTTTTCTATAAACATCTCATATTAGAAACATTGAATTATTGAAATATCTCAAAACTAATAAAATAATATAAATCAAAAGCATTTCTATTGACATTTATTTGATACGCTACTGGATAATAAAACTAACAAACCCCGCTCTTCCCCTCCTAACAACTGGCTTGTATATGTTGCTTTCAAACAAACGCAATGTAAATTTTTGACATTCAGTTATCTATTATTATTTATTTATCTGAGGGTTTTTCATGTTTTTCTGAATGAAAAAAAAAAAACAACAATTAGGTTAGAATTTTTTGTAGTTCATTTTTCAGTTTTATTTAATTTTTTATGGCGAAAAGATTAGCTAAAACAACTGTGTAATAGTATGAGAAACTACATAATTTTGTTAGAAAAAACAAAATTATTCTCACGGGGAAAACAAATATATTAGATAAAAAAAATCAAACCTTTGGCTAGTATTTACAAATCATATAATTTAAAAACAAATTCAAATATACTAAGAATTCAGATAATTAACAATATAGGTATTAGATAATTAAATAATAAACAAATAAAGTGGTAACATAGACGTTGGACACTTAACGGCATGTTATTCGAGGCTGTTGAGGCGATACGTTAAATTAGAACATAACAGGTGGAAAATAACAGTAACGTGTTATGAAAAACTTTACATCATACGAATTTGTCTCGTTGCTGTTAAAACTCGGCCTAACATGTACGTTACGGATAACGTAAACGTTCAATCATAGGACCCAATGGGTCTTATGATTGAACGTTTACGTTATCCGTAACGTACATGTTAGGCTCAGTTTTAACAGTAATTAGGCAAGTTCGTATGATGAAAAACGGTTTCCAACACATTAATGTTATTTTCCGCCTGTTATGTTCTAATTTAACAGTTTTCCATCATACAAACTTGCTTCGTTACTGTTAAAATTCGACCTAACATGTACGTTATGGATAGCATAAACGTTCAATCATAGGACCCATTGGGTCCTATGATTGAACGTTTATGTTATCCGTAACGTACATGTTAGGCTCAGTTTTAACAGTAATTAGGCAAGTTCGTATGATGAAAAACGGTTTTCAACACGTTACTGTTATTTTCCGCCTGTTATCTTCTAATTTAACAGTTTTCCATCATCCGAACTTGCCTCGTTACTTTTAAAATTCGGCATAACATGTACGTTACGGATAACGTACATGTTAGGCCGAGTTTTAACAGCAACGTACCAAATTCGTATGATGTAAAGTTTTTCATAACACGTTACTGTTATTTTCCACCTGTTATGTTCTAATTTAACGTATCGCCTCAACAGCCTCGAATAACATGCCGTTAAGTGTCCAACGTCTATATGTTACCACTTTATTTGTTTATTATTTAATTATCTAATACCTATATTGCTAATTATCTGAATTCTTAGTATATTTGAATTTGTTTTTAAATTATATGATTTGCAAATACTAGCCAAAGGTTTGATTTTTTTTATCTAATATATTTGTTTTCCCCGTGAGAATAATTTTGTTTTTTCTAACAAAATTATGTAGTTCCTCATACTATTACAAAGTTGTTTTAGCTAATCTTTTCGCCATAAAAAATTAAATAAAACTGAAAAATGAACTACAAAAAATTCTAACCTAATTGTTGTTTTTTTTTTTTTTTTCATTCAGAAAAACATGAAAAACCTCATTTTAGTCATTTTTAGAAATGAAGTGAAGTTAGGTACATTTTGTACGCACGCGCAATAACGCAAATAAATACTTTCTTCCATTCATAACAGCCAGCTCAACATCTTCTGTTATCGACTACTTCAATCATACGGATATGACACCTACTGTTATTTCATACGTTATCTATTCCCTGTTAGCATAACATAACAGATTCGTGTTAAACTTAACGTAAACGTTCAATCATAGGACCCAAATATAAGTATATTATTTACAATTTATTAAAACATTTCAAACAAGTCTGGGTTAGTTCGGATCAATTTTTTAATTTCAGTTTTAAATTTATATAATTTAGTTATTTGTTTCGTTATTAAAGGAAGAAGATTAAACAATTTGGAGCCAAAATAGAAGAATATTCGAGATACTAGATTGTTTTATTGCACGGCAGAAATGGCCAAATACATGAAAAAAAAAACACTATACATTATTGAAAAATTAATGTACATTCTTACCTGGCTTGGGTTTCGATTGGAGATGTCCAGTTGAAAAACCTCATTTTGCTGCCCCTTTTCTTCACACATGAGCTTTCTTCTAAACTGGCAACCAGATTGGACAGTAATTGTGGTTTTATACCCATAATTCAATAAAGATGATTTGTGTAATCCTTGTTTAATCTCATTAAAGTCGTGATTAAACCTTTATTCGATTTGTAAACATACTGTACCTACTTAATGCTTTACAAGAGATTTATCGGTCAAATTTTCTTTAATGTTAATAATTAATTTTAAACAATGACAATTTATCAAAATTCTTTATTGATACACAAACTGAAGAACTAACAAAACTTGTAGCGACAATGTAGGTACACCTAACATTATCTGCAATGTACAAATACAGGGTAATTTAAAAGCGTGGGGTCACGACAAGGGATGGAGCTAACATACCTGGAAGAAGAGGAAGATATCATTGGTATAACTATGGAGATGGGCATATGTTTGAATCCTCTGATATATTCTTAAAATTTCTATAAATTTTTGTCGATTTATGGATATTTCTGATTAGTGGCGGCTTGTTATAATTTAAAATGGGTGTTCACTTTTTCCAATAATTTATTTGTAAGTTCGGTTCAAAACCTTGTACAAGTATAGTTATTATTATCGATATCATACTGTTTTCAAGCACTACAACTATTAAAGAATAAATAAATGAATATATTAGTTATTGTAATATTTGTTTTGTTTTAATACATTGAAAACCGTCTATAAACCTTAATAATTAGTCAACTGACTTTTCTTCATATTTGAGATTTTTTTTAAATATACATTTCAGGTTAGGTAGAAAGCGTTTTGTGTAAAAAATATTATTATATAAAACTTTACCTACCATTTTTCAGTTTTTATTGTAAATTTAATCGTTTTTACAATTTATTACACATGTCAAATAAAATAATATATTTTTTAAATACCTTTTATTGGCAAAAAACAAGTGAACTAAAATGTGTATTTAATAAGATCAATCCCATCACAATACATAACATTACCCAGATACAAACTAGAATGAAGATATATAATGCATGGCATTCTTCTTCTTCTTCTTCCTTTATTGGGCTATATCCCACAGGATAATTTACCCAGCCTACAACGGGGAGAGTAGCCTTGTCTTGCTCTCAGCAATTGGATACCCTCTATTAAATTGATATATTTATATATTTCAAAGTAAAAAGCTTATTAATGTTACTACTTGTCTTATATACGTAGAGAGGCATCAAAGTTAGTACATAGACGTCACAACACAGGATAAAAAATTTTCCCGCTTGGGGGCAGTTGCCAAGCTGAACACAACCAGAAAACTGCCAAAGGTAAATAGAAGGAGCACCTAGAACTGAAAGAGAGGATAAAGTATTAGGGTTATAATTGAATTTTAAATATATTTAAAAATTTAATTAGAATGTTTAATCTGCTATTATTGAGGTTAGCCAACATAAAACAAATGTCAAAGGGAGCAGAAAGCTTAGTTTTTGCCAATTCAGAGTATAAATCAAAGTTTGCCATCATATTTATGGAACATTCAAAGATAGTGTGGTTTAATGAGCTAATTTGACCACACTCACAAAATGGATCATCTTTTACTCCTATACGTACGGTGACCATATGTACTTATTTTAGTAGGACAGTACTTTCTTTTAGAAAATGTCCTTCTGTCCGTTAATATTGTTGCAAGTACATACAATTGTACTTATTTTCAGAAAAGGGACTCCTTCCAATCTTATATTTTATAATTATGTTACGGATAATTAGTTTACTCTTTTTTAGAGAAACATTATGTTACAATTCGATAATTATGTTACATCTGAAAACACTGGTCGTGATATACGCAAGCGATACGTTAATGTCGTTATCCGTCTCACTAATATGCAGGTTTAAATTAATAGCGATTTAGGGATGTTCGTCGTAAAGCTGTTAGAGAGTTATTGCAAGTGCACTTAAGGTCAGTCACTATTAGTGCCGCTGAACATGCGCAGATCACTTACATTCTAGAACTGACTTTTTTAAAGATTGTGCTTGTCCTTAATTGTGGATAAGGACAGCAATTAGTGGCGACTTTATAGTTTTCGGGTGCGCTCGTCAACATTCGTATCAGTTCGAAGTTTTTTAATATTAAATAAATAAATAATATCATCGACATCTAAACCTTCTTAAATGGCAATTTCTAATGCTTTCCATATTATGTACTGTTACGAATAATTATAACATCCTGTGAATAGGTATGTTATGATTTGTAAATTTTGTCCAAGGGCATGCGCGCTAAATAGATTTTCAATAAAATAATAAAACGAGTAGTTGGACAAGGTTTTATTAAATCATAATAATAAAGTACAGGGTTAAAAAAGATCAACAAGAGCATTCTTGGAAAATTACAAGTTAATTTTCGGGGGGTTTCTTTTGGTTTTTGTTGAGGAGCGGTCGTAATCATTCGCACTAAGTGAATTCCTTTTTTTTTGTGTCGGAAAGTAGAATCACGGGTCGGTCACGCAAGATCGCGGTTATTTTTTTTTAAAGCCATACAGTGGGAAAAGTAACGAGTGCTTCAGCCAGCCCTCTGCAGCTTTAACGGATTAAAGTATGTTTATGTAAGTAAATAGTTTTGAGTAGTAATATTTAGTTTTGTGTAGTCAGTAAAGACTACTGAATTGCTGAAGCAATATTAGATAGAGAGAGAGAAAGGGAATAGAACTTAACCTAGGCTAGGAAGCCGTGTGTTATCTAGAGGCAAATTTAAATACAAATTGGGCCCCTTTATATAACCCGTGGTTACCGCTAAAAGTAGATTTTAGGGTCAGTCAAAAGAGCCTATAATCTCACTCTTAATAGTACTATTATAAACAATAAAAATGATGAACTGTAATTTAAAATTTTCAAATGAGGTTAGAAATATGTATAAGGACAAGGACTCCAATGTTATTTTCTTAAGAGTAACCCTTCTATGCTCAAATCAATATTTGGTTCAGAAAAATATGATTGGTTTAAAAAAGGGGATGTTAAAAAAGATAATCAAGTTTCAAGTACATCAGCGGAAAAGTCTTAGTAAAATTTAAGTCCTTTTTATGTTATTTGCTTTAACATTTTTCGATGTTTAATATCATTATTATGCCTTAATTTTATTTTTAAATTAACATATTTGGTGTTTTATTTAATGTTGACATGATATTTCTATAAAATGGTGAATACGTTCGAAACAATCTTACTGTACTTTTTTTGTCAAAAAAAATTATGGTCACCGTACCTATACGAAATAAGTGATATGGGGATAGGCAATGTCCTGTCCTCATCCTAATTATTGTAGTTAAATGACTTCTGTCCTTGTAGGAAAAATTTAAAAAGATATTTAACTTTATCCTTCCATTGAATGATTTGAGATTTATAGATGATATTAGGTAAAGTAATTTTAGTTACTCCTTTAGTTATAATTGCCGAAGTTTTATGCAATGAAAGACTAAGGTTAAGTTTTTCCAACCAGGACTTTAATTTAAGCAAAAAGGAGTTGGTACGTGGAATCATATTGTAAACATTCGATCCATTAACCAGTATTACCAGATTATCAGCTTATTGAATTAATTTAAAATTATTAGGCAGGATATCAAATAGAGACAAGGTATAAAGGTTAAACAAAATGGAACTGAGTGGAGACCCTTGAGGAAGGCCTTGATTAGTAGTTTGAGGACCATGGATATGGCCCAAATTGTCTTGAGTAAATCGTTCTCTTTGGACTAAAAAGGAATGTATTAAATTGGCCAAATCCACTGAGACATTTGCATCTAGTAAAATGGAATATAACCAAGGAATATTAACTGGATCATATGCAGCAGAAATATCAATGAAGAGGCCAATAGTAAATTCATTAAGGGAGAAGCCTATTTGCACTTGTGAGGTAAGATATACAAGACAATCTGTACAACCCCTGCCTCTTCTGAAGCCCAATTGTAAGGGATTAAGACTTTGATTATTTTCCAAATGCCATTCAAGTCGATTTTTGATTAAGGATTCTAATGCTTTGCCTACGCAAGAGGAAAGGGAAATAAGCCTATAATTTGAAGCTACCATTTTATCCTTATTTGGCTTAATTATAGGCAGAATTAAGGATTGATTCCATTGTTGAGGAATTGAGCCTGTTAGAAGACATTTATTAAAGATACTCAGAAGAAACAAGGAGCCTGAACGAGGTTTTTTTTTTAGCATAGAGTATGAAATAAGATCTAAACCTGGAGAAGAGTCTCGTTTCAAATTCAACACATTTGAGTATTCATTAAGAGTAAAGGGGGATTCTGAATGAGTTAAGCTATTAATTTGGCACATATTTTCCAGGGAAGGAGGGGAAAGAATGTTTAAGATTTCTTGTGCAATCGATTGGGTAGGCACTAGATTCGAGAGATTTTGTTTTAAACCAAAAGTGTTATTAATTTTATTCCAAATGGACTTCAGGGAAGAATGACGATTGAGGGAACTACAATACATCCTAAAGTTATTTTTTCGTTTGGATTTGAGAACTTTTCTAGTTGTAGCTATATTTTTTTAACTTGGATGTAATTATCTAAATTTGGACTTTCCATAAAATTTCTAATAGAGGTTACCCTGTTTGATACAAGTTCATTACATGAATCATCCCACCAAGGAATATGATATTTAACATCTAAGTATTTAACATTCTTGTTAGGCTAGAAGAAGGGAATAGTAGTATCAGCAACTTGACTTATTATAGATATGAACTCATAATAATTATCTTTGGGTAAGGAATAAGAGTAATCAGTTTATTAAAGTAAAAACTCCAATCTGCCTTGTTGAGGTTTCTTCTATTTTTAGTGGTGGTAGGAGGGCCATTATTAGCGATTCCTAACTTACATTTGGTAGGGAAATGGTCACTAAAGCCCAAATCCGAAATTACTTCCCAAGTTGACTTATGAGCCAAATCTATTGAACAAAAGGTTAAATCAACGACAGATTTACCACCATTTGGTGGAGAAATTTGTGTAGGAGAGTCATTATTTAAAAATACTAATTGTTAAGAATCCAAAGAATTTATTATATTTTTACCGTTTGAGCTATTTGAGAAGTTTCCCCAACACACATGATTACAATTTAAGTCCCCCATAATCAAAAGAGGTTTGTTCATTTCTCATTTCGATTATTTCATTTAGATATATTTGCAATTATATAAATTTTTCTTCCATTTCATTTCGCATCGTTATTTCATGTAGTAGTTCTGAGTCGCTGCTTCTAAGTTCAATTTTATCTTGGTTTGTCTTGGTTTGTGGTAAATTTTTTTAAAATATTGTCTAAAGCAGTTAGACGTATCTTTGCTTCGGTACAAGATATTGAAGCTGATCCATCTAAATAATATTTGATGTGGGTCAATTGTCCCTTTTTGGTGCGAAGGCATGTGTATCTGACTGAGTTGCGGTTGTCCATATATAATGTAATCACATACTTTGATTACTATACGAGGCAAGAGAGAGATCCGACACGCCCAACATAGGGCGCGGCCATTTTGAACCCTGTGACACAGTTTACAGCTAAAGAATCAGATCGCTCACTCTGCGTCGGCACTTTGGATCTCAATGTTTCAGTTTATACACTGTGCAACTCGGATAATACAATATATGACAACCGCCTATAATAAAACAGCAGTCTTCTGCGTATCCTGAATTTGTATCCCTGGAGTGGATGTTATTTTGGAACTTTCAACTGGTCCGAGTGAGCTAACTGATTCTTTAGCAATAAACTGTGACTTCAAAAATAATATTAGGCATTCCAAACTGAATGGCTACCAGTGGGTTTTGACGGGTTATGATATGGCAAAATTATGGCAACTCTGTAGGCCTGGTGATTTGACAAGGTCAATGAAATAGATAGTTACATAGATTGGTCATTCATATTTTTCCAAATAAACGTAAGCTTATGCCTTGAAGTAAAAATGTAAGCAATTATTTTTTTTTTAATATCTAAAGGCTAAAAATTGGTTTTAAAACACATTTTTGCTAAACCAATTCAAATTAATAAATATTTGCCAGGCAATATGGCCGCTCGTAAACCACCAGCTTTGAGCAATCTATATAACTATATATGTATCATTGACCCTATTAATGACAGCATGACAACAGGGTTGCCATATCTAAACTGTCATTACCCACTGGTAGCCATTTGGACAGGTCGTTGGAATGCCTAATTCACTGACACTGACAGCAGCAAGCAAAATATCAGGTGCGTTTTAATCATCCGCTTCTGCTTCCGGAATTGTCGGTTTAGTCGTTTTAACCTGTCAAATTAAAACAAGAAAACCGACAATTCCGAAGCAGAAGCGGATGATTAAAACGCACCCATTAAAAATATTGCGCCAAGATGTAGGCAACACGTAATAAGGGTTCAAAATGGCGGAGTTTTCTATCTCCTTTTAAAAGGCACTCAGAAAGCTGCGCAGTGCGACCATTCTCCATATAGTAAAAGAAAATCAAAGTATGTGGATTATGATGTTCTTTGGATAATAAACGTGTTATTATAGCAAATCAAGGTTTTACTGATATCATCGATAACAAATATCTACACTGACAAGTAATAATTTTTTTTTTCACATTTTTTTTTACAAAATTTTTTAAGTGAAAACTTCTATAGGCATGTTAGGCGCTTTCCAGATGGGTAAAATCTTCCCAGCTCGCGACACCACATGCCAATGTTAATAGTATATCTACGGCTGTAAGTATGACATGTGCTTGGCGAGCAATGGAAGTAAATTGTGTATGGACAAAAAGTTATTTTGACACAATGTTTTTTAAATATTTTTTTTTGACAAAAATTTTGTTGACAATTTTTTTAGAACAAAAATAATTTTTTACAATTTTTTTTCTTAGATAAACGGCCCCAAGATATGGCCCAACGTTACCCTTAAAAACGTTTTATTCAGTAACTTAAGAGATACAAGAAATAAAACTATCTAATAGATGTAAAAATATTTATTAACAAAATATAAAATTTACAATAAATATTCCAACAAAAAAATGTTTTATTAAAAAAACAATAAGTAAACATAATCAAGGTAAAGTGTACAAATGTCATTAAACAAAGCCAAATAAAAACTAACCAATAATTTATCATAAATCGTTAGGAACTTAAGTACTACATTAAAATTTACGCTTGAAATTTCATCATGCTATTAAAAACGGTATCACGGCTACTTCTTGCATATTTTCGACACATTTTAAATTACTATTCTTATATAAAAGTGTAAAGAAGATGTAAAATTTAATTCAATATTAAATTTGATAAATTTTAAAAAGTTTTCGTCACATTTTAAAATTTCTACATACAAGTGATCACGATGATTATTTATTACACTGTGAAACTTTGAACTGAAATATGTATCAGATACCTATTAGAAAAACTGCAAGAAGGCATCCAAATTGACTAAAGAGAAAATAAATAAAATAAAATTTGCACAACCAATGATATGAATTTCCTATTTTTTTTATTTTTTATTTCCCTATATTTCGACCACTGCGCTCTTCAGATTCATTTATGAGCTTATAGGCAGGCAAGTACACATTTTTGCCTTGATTAGTATCAAAATAAGCCAACGATGGGTTTCTAACGGTATTAGAAGAACTTCCCAAAGAAGTGTATCCCAAGTCGTATAGTTTACAGTAAGGAACTTTGTAGAAAAGTAAATAATCCCAAATATCTGAAAAATGCCAATCTAGCAGAGGACTAACTCTCATTATCTGTGGCCAGTTAGGATCTGTCATCTAAAAAGAAAGTTTTATCATTAAATGTGTTAAATCTTAATTGATAGTATATAACATATTAATAGTTCAATTGTTAAAATTATTTACAAATATACAATACTAGAATGTGGAAAATTTTCTGGAAATGTGATGTTTTATATTTATATTTATTGTCATTAAAAATAAATGTTACCTGAAACATATCCAAGTGTTGCGAATACGGATCTGTTCTCCTAGTTCCCATAAATACAGCTTTCAAATTTGGCTGAGTAGTTATCACATTATTCAAGGCGTTCTTTATATCTGATGTAATCTCAATAATGTTCAAATTAAAAAAAATGCTACATTGTGATATAAATGTATCTTGTTCTTCGAAAGTTTCTTTGCTTTTCACATAAAGGCATATTATGGGCTTTTTGTAATCTGGGTATTTTACTTTCAAAACAGTGTAGACTAGATGTAGTAATACTGTGCAATCTTTGCCGCCATTGAAACTTAAGAATGTATTGTCGGGTCCATAAGAATCCAGACATTTTTCTATTACCTGAAAAAAAATTCGAGCATTAATTTAAATGCAATTTTTGAAATATGAAAACGAATAATTCCCAATTCCTCCTAAAAAAAATATGAAAAATACACCCCCATATCCCCAAAATAAAAATTGAAAAATCTGAAAAATAAAGGAAGACCAGGGTTCGAACCTGGAACCTTCGGACTGTAGCCGCTCATGCTTTACCAGTTGAGCTATCAAAACACATGGTTTCGACATCCGAACTTTTATTTATTTATTAAATACACTATTCTACAAGTAATACCCAATTACAGAATAGGAAAATATGACAAAAATATTTAGACGAAACGTACAAAAATGAAAAATATTACAGGAAATAAAGTACAATGATGGTTATCCTAAATAATGCCTTTTGATATCCTGAATACTAATGTGGAATATATCCAATTCCTGACTTATCTGATTATAATTATTACACATATTATACAACGGTGAGTTCATTAAAATATTAGTACGAGGTGTTGGTAAGTAAAATGAGTCAGTGTATCTTGAGGCTAGACGTGAAACTTTTAAATTAAGTATATGTAATAGACATTCGCAGTTTATTTGATTGTTTATGACCTTATGCAGCATAATTACAGAAAAATATTTTCGCCTTATATCGAGACTTGAAAATCCATGTTTTTTTAATAAGGCGTCGTGTGGGGTGCCAATGGGTGGATAAATTATATCATGTCTAAAACTTAAGTATTTTAGGAATCGTCTCTGAATTCCTTGCAAACGACCAATGTGTACTTGATACAATGGACTCCATATAAGTGACGCGTATTCAAGCTTGGATCGAACAAAAGCATATTACAGACATTTTATGGTATCTACTTTCTTAAAATCACGACTGTTTCTGATTATGAATCCATATGTACGATTAGATGAGGATGCAATACTATCGACATGGTCAGTAAAAGAAAGTGCTGAATCAAATAGGACTCCTAAATCGGCGAAGTTTTTTGGTTTGTTTAAGGGAATTTCATCAACAATATACTGGTAAAAAGTTGGATCTGACTTTAAGGAGTACGACATTACATTGCACTTGACTGGGTTCAATTTTAAATTATTTCTATGGCACCATTCATTAACTTGTTTTAGATTTTCAGAACTTGTAGATTAAGGGTTAATTTGATATTTATTAATAATTAATATCCCCCCAATGATTTATTGGTTAAAATAGATTATTTTCTAACAATTTCTTAGAAAAATGAAGTTATGTGTTAATATCTTAATAATTGTGGTATGCTTGAAAGAAAAATGTATGTATTTTTAAAGATGGTGTCAAATTGGTTGGAATATTTATTTGCGATACCTATCAAAGAGAAACGATTTAGAAGAATTAGGCATTCCAACGACATGTCAAACAATAGGTGCCAGTGGGAAATTCTTGTATATTTAAGGGGGGTAGCGACATAGTCTTGCAACTTGGACGCTATTTTTATTCGAAGTAGTACTCGCCAAGCCTGCCAATTTATGAAGAAATGTATAGGTGGGTTTTTTAAATATTATTTTTATTGTGTTTGACATAAAATATTTAAATGTAATCCATTATTCATGATTTTACGTAAAGTAGATAGAATACACCATATGTCGCCACCCTTAGATATACCAAACCTGCCCACTGGTAATTCATTTGTTTGGAATGCCTAATAGGAATGTATAGAATAGAAAAATAAATAAAAAAGAAGAGAAAAATAACCAAGATTTGGTAATTATATTGAAAAAAAAATGAACATATTAAGATTTGAATAATTTTATTTCACGAGGTGTATTAAACGAGTCTTCAACAGTACCCGAATCCCACGTAATCTGGTAAAACAATAAATTTAATGAAAATGGCCGTTCTTAGTGATTTTTATGACAGCTTAAGTTTCAGTTCTGTCAAATAGGTAAGTGACATTATTTTAAGGTTACAGTTCAACAAATTAGGCATTCCAAACAAATGAATTACCAGTGGGCAGGTTTGGTATATCTAAGGGTGGCGACATATGGTGTATTCTAACTACTTTACGTAAAATCATGAATAATGGATTACATTTAAATATTTTATGTCAAACACAATAAAAATAATATTTAAAAAACCCACCTATACATTTCTTCATAAATTGGCAGGCTTGGCGAGTACTACTTCGAATAAAAATAGCGTCCAAATTGCAAGACTATGTCGCTACCCCCTTAAATATACAAGAATTTCCCACTGGCACCTATTGTTTGACAGGTCGTTGGAATGCCTAATTTCTAGAGGCTTTCGACGGCTAGACAGAGAAAGCACTGCTGACAGGCATCCCGACGGATTTACGCAATGAAAGTACACTCTGCGCATCAAGTATTTCACTATTTCATTCAGACGTAAATGTCAGATGTAAATTTCGCTAAAACATTTCTTTTATTTTCGTTTGTGTTTTTTGCTCATTACAGTTTAATAGAACCTAAGTATGGAGTTTAATAGCAAATTAAGAGGCCGCGTGATTAACATCGCGAAATAATAGCCAATGTTATAGAGTTTATGAGAAGAGAAGGAAACTTTAATTCACCTTCAATACCATTTAAAAATGTAAATGATCGTGTTGCTGCAGCCACAGGAGTATCTAAAAACACTGTCGTCCGCATTTCTGGAGAGAAAAAAAGAATCGATAACATCGGAATTTTCATCACCAAGAAAAACCATTAAAAAACCAAAAACAGTTAATGATATAGATGAAGCTGCACAAGAATCAAATTTTATTTTTTTATTATTAGATAGCTATTTTTGTTTCTGAGTTGTGTTCATTTACAGGCTCAATTTTTTTCCGTTTCTCCTTTTTGATTTTATATGGGGTTTCAAGTTGTTTTTGACTTATTTCGACGTAAATCACAACAACACACTTTTTTAATAAAGCAAACAAGTATTAAGAGGTATATGTACGTGTAAACTACAATTACAAAAAATTGATATGAAACCCATGAAACCACCAACAAAAATGTAAAGCTAACTTCCGTACTAGAACATGGTGTCATTCGTCGAGATAATTTATCGTTTTGTTTAATAGATCAAGAAATGTAAATATTCCCCTGTTATTTTTTATAAAATTATAAGAGAAATAAATTTTTTTCTAAATAGTATAGTTTATTATTTTGTAGAAAAACAAAATTTCGAAAATTTTAGTAATGTTTCAGAAACAACCGTTATTAATAATAGGTACCATTTTCCTTAATAAGGTAGAAATAAAATATAAACTATTTCCACGATTTACAAAGGCCTACAAAAAAATTATAGGTATTTTCCGCTATCCTATAAAATTTATATTTTCTGACTCAATTTCAAAAGGTTGAAGGAATTCCAAAACACCTTTTATGGCATAATAATTATTTTCAATTCTACATACTATTTTTAGCTGCTTTTAAAAACGTTCTAAGAAAGTCCAATCAGACCAATTTAATCCCTAAACTATTCCACACTTTTAAAATTTAATTACCTAAAAATATTAAAAACTATTTAAAATAACTTGTTTAGCAGACTGTACAATAGCTATCTTAGTCACACGTAGCGCGTTCTCTGTCTAGGCGTCGAACACCTCTAGAAATTTCATGAACTGTACTACTATTAATGTTAGTTTTAGCTATCTGATGACATCAATTTAGTCACATGGTGTAGCAGCAGGCTTAAACAAGAGAATGTTGTCATAAGTCAGTTGTGAACGCTGTCAAATAAAATACTCATTACTTGCATTAGTATTATTATTTTTAATAATATAATATTACATGGTGTCAGAAGTGGGATCCCCAAAATGAATGATGAAACTAAAAAGGAAATTGATAATTGCGTGAGCAAATCGAAGAATTAACCATAATGAATCGCCAAATGATTGCATCCAAAACAGTAGCAACACAAGCGATCCCAGTTATCGACCCTCCGAAAGCATTCAGAATAGAGAATGATCCAGAAAAAGATTGGAATAAATGGGTACAACATTTCGATATGTACGAAAAAGTGACACAGTTGCACAAGAGGGATGTAGATCAACAAATATCTACATTTATGATGACAGTAGGAACTGAATGGTTTGAAACATTTAACAACTCGCCTATCGAAAAAAAAAGCCTCAGTGACTGATCTTAAGCTAGCCTTTAAAGAGTTGTTCGTGCCAAAAATAAATACTGCTTATGAAACAATGATTTTCAATTCTTAAGTATTATGACGTTAATGCAGATGTCACCATACAATCAGATGCTAGCGAAAAATCAGCAGGTGCAGTATTATTGCAAGATGATAAACCAGTTGCTTATTTTTCGAAATCCTTCACTGATTCTCAACGAAACTTTCCACCAATTGAGAAAGAAGCTCTAGCTATTCGTTTTGCTTGTCAAAAATTCCATTCATATATTTTTGGAAAGAAATTAATAATTCAGACTGATCACAAACCATTAGAATCCATTTGCAAAAAACTTCTTTGTTCTGCTCCTCCTAGATTACAACGAATAATCTTTGATATTCTTCAGTATTGTCCACAAGTGGTATATGTGAAAGGTCCAAAAATACCTATTGCTGATCTATTAAGCAGGGACTGCAGAAATATTCCTAATACAGAGGAAGATGATTTACAAATTCAAATCGTATTTTCTGGCTCTGAGCTAGCCCAGTCAACCATCATCAAGGAAACATCTTCAGATCCAGAGTTGGTTGCTCTTAAAGACATGATTATGAATGGATGGCCTGAGGAAAGAACTAAACTGAAAGAAGAACTAAGACCCTATTGGACGTATAGAGATCAGCTATCAATAACAAATGATCTACTTTTTAATGGCCATAAAGTAATAGTACCTAGATCTTATATACCTAAAATTCTAAAAGATATCCATGCCAGTCATCATGGCATCGAGAAGTCCTTAAGGAGAGCTCGATCGTCAGTTTTTTGGATAGGTATGACAAAAACTATTTCCGATTTTATAAAAAAATTGTGCAGTTTGCCAGTCGATGCAGTATTCAAATGTAAAAGAACCCCTAG